TCCGCCCGCGTGTGCCCCCTCCCTCCCCGGGCCTGGCCTCCTCAGGAGGGAAGCCCCCCAGCCGCGTGCCGTCGGGGCTCCGGGGGGCCAGCGCAGAGCCTGCCTGTGCGAGACACGCCCTTGCAGCCCCTCCTGGGGGCCCTCAGAGAGAGAGCCAGTCACTCCCTCACTGACTCATTCATTCATTCACTCCCTCCCTCCCTCACTAATTCATTCATGCCCTCCTTCCCTCACTCCTTCGCTCATTCACTCGTTTACTCCTTCGCTCTCCTTCACGCGCTCCAGGGCGCTCTGGTCTGGCCATGAACAAGACGAAGCACCTGCCCCACGTGGGCACCTGCGGAGGGCGCACCTGTTGTTGGCAGTGAAGTTGGGCGCCAGGGAGACGGTGCCCTCTCTCCTCCGTGGGCCCGCCGGCGTGTCCAGGGCACAGGGACTCTGGGCGGCGGGCGGTGAGGGGAGGGCCCTGGGCTGGTCGTCCTGGCGGTGAACACAGACGCCTTCAGCCGAGACGCAGCCTCACACACTGCTGACACCCAGCCCTGCCCCGCCCCCGCGGCCTCACTCACCCCCGGCCAGGGTGGCCGGAGGAAGCGCCTGCCCCTCTCCAGATGGGAAGCCGCGGTCAGGGCTGCACACCCCCACCCCCCGCAGGGGCAGCAGAACAAGGCGGGAGCCAGGCGCGCTCCCAGCCCCTCAGCCGCCCGGCTCTCACCAGGACATTCCAGGTGGCCCCCTTCTCGCTGGAGGCCCTGCTCACACTGGCCGGCCTCTGGTTCCCACCGGGGCTGCTCTCAAAGAACGTCAGGAAGTTGGGGGGCTCTGCCGGCCTGGGTCAGAGGGCAGCAAGCAGGGACAGTCAGGAACTCAGCGGGGACGGCCGGTCACCAGCAGGGACTTCTGTCCCCGAGCCTAGGGCTCAGGCGACATGTCTGGGTCCTGATCTGACGGCCGAGCCTGGAAGTGCCGAGGCTCTGCCCGTGGCCACGACCCCCCAGGAAAAGCGCCTCCAGGAAGAGGGCGGAGAAGGCAGGGCACGGCGGCCCCGAGTCCACACTCCACACGCAGGGATGACAGGTCCGGACATGACCTGCCTGCCCCCAGGACCGGCCCCGAGTGAAGGGCACCTCAGGCCCCACTGTCCGGCCAGTGCCCACACTGGCGAGGCCGGAAGAAGGGCTGACAGAGGCCGGACAGGAACAAGTGGGGGTTACCAGAGGGGGTCAGAGGTTGCCTAAGGGGTCAGAGGTTGCCTGAGGGGTCAGAGGTTACCTGAGGGGGCCGGCCCACGCCTGCTTGGCTTGAGGCTGGTGGACCTGCGTGGTGCTGCTGGACCTGCGAAGGTTGTTGATGGCCCTGGAGCTCCCAGGCCCCGTGGCCTCCTGCAACAAGGGGAAACCACCAACCTCGTGGCCGCGGGGCCGTGCACGACAGGTTTAGAGGGAGAGGTGAGGGGGGCACGGGGGTGGCAGGAGCCGCGGGGCCTCCAGCAGGCTCCCTGTGGATAGAAGGGGGAGCCCCCCCGCCACCCCCCCAGCCCGCTGCGTGCGTAAACAAACCCGTGTCGATGCAGGGAGAGAACTTGTGGCCCCGGCAGGCCTAGGGCCTGGCCTCGCCCCCTGGTCCTCCCTGCTCCCCAGGAGGCCACAGGGCTGGATGGGCAACGGGCTGGGGGGCGGGGCCCACCCGG